CCTTTGCTTGAGAAGAGAACAAAGTCTAAATAATTCACTTGCACCTGGAAAGGTTTGTATATGGAATAAAATGCGTTTATGTAGAAATGTCCATGGTTTATGCCCCCCCCCCCCCCTCCCCCTGCCCTATGTTACTACTTCATCTTTTAAAATATATGTATCCCTGTCAAATCTAACTGTTTTAGTAAACAAATCTCTTTTTCAATCTCTCATATTTCCATGAAAAATATCTCAAACAAAAGGTCTCGCCAATATTTTTTATTTTTATTGCTTTGTTAAATCTGCTTGATCAGTAATTCCTAATCGGAACTGGACGTGAAATAAAATAAAAATATCGATATATCAAGTCAGATTAAAATTTTAAATGTTAACACTAACTCCTTTTTAAAAAAGAAATTAAGAGCAAATAAAAAGTAAAGGTTTTTAATTTACAAACTAATTGATTTGCTATAATTCTCATAAATAGAGGAGTTTTGACCTACAAGGTCACAAATTCGCATCAGTAATTTTGCATACTTTTTACAATTTTCCGTTTAGAGTGGATTAATCTATTGAAATGTATTTTTGTTTGTTGGTTTTAAATTGAATAAAAGATAAATTCATAAAAATCAACAAAAGAACAAAATTATAGATTTAGAGTTTTTCAGAATAAATTGTTTTCAAGAACAGAATTTATGAATTTAAACCATTCTTTCGAACCCAGCTTATTTATATCTTCCAGTAAACAGCATTTTATATTTAAGTCAAATCCCTGAGTTGAACCAGGAGATTGGTTTATACTAAATAAATCTTTAATCTGATGATCTGTTACGAATGCCCTCATACTCAATCACGAACTCAAGAAGAACAAATGTTTTGAATTTCATATATAAGTACCTACCCGGATTTATTTGGTTTACCCGTACTTGTGCGTTAAATCTATACTAGAGGAGCTACGAGGTCAAAAAGTCGAATAAATCTTATCTTAGTCTAATTTGCAGTGTGCTAAGTACAAATACAGACTTGGAACAGTACACCAAATGAATAACCCCACACGGGCAGACGTAGTACATTTGAATTTCCGAGCCGGGTCAACCTTTCTGGTCCCATTGTACTGTATCTAGCTCTATGGTCTGGACTAGCCGGTGCAACAAAGTTGGCCGCGGTCAGAGTTTATGCTTCATATAGGTTGAATTTACTTTTACTAATGAGGCAGAGGTACGTGCCCCCTTATAGTGAAAACTGTATGTGGGCGAAGAACCCAAAATAAAATCTTCGGGTCGACTTGTATTTGAATTAAAGAGTTTCATTTCAAGTCTTAATGTTTGTGAATATCCTTGCATAGTAAAATTCATTGTCATATAATAAACCCTTTTAATTGCAATGGAAAAATCTTCTGCTTCATTTCTTCACCTTTAATGCCATAGAAGACATTTTTTAATTTTTATCATCAATCAAATTTCGAATCAAAATGATTTTAGCTCCTAGGAAAATTTTGCAATCTGATTTTTGACAGAATTTTGAACATAATTTTACGTTGCACTTTAGTTTGACATTTTTAACATATACCCTTATACGTGAAAATATTTTGTTAAATATTGCGGTGATTTTCCCCCAGAATTAAGAATAATCTTGTTCTATGTAACCAGCGTCATTTTTATAAAGCTTTTTTTGCTACATAAGCATAAAAAACATAATTTTTGCTACACAAGCCTAAAAACTGTAATTTTTGCGATCGTTAACGAAGGATCGTCGTAAACAATCATTAACGAAACGACGAAATTTCTAAAAACGGTCGTTTTAAGAAAATGCAATGTAATTTTGTTGGCGGATAACAGCAACACACTAGACAAATTGGAGTAATAGGCCAGTTAGGATTCTGGTGGGGGATGTTTATTTTCCCTGGACAATTCTTTCCCGGTAGGCCGCAAATACACACACAACAGAGTAACCCCGTCTCAAGAAAATCGATAACAAAAGCTTTATTTCCTAAAAATAACATAAATTATAGAAAATAAATAATAAATAAATACAAATACAATACACATAAAGCATAATTTTGCTGCATTCACTGATCAAAAAAACGTAATTTTCGCTACAAGCACTCAAAAAGCACAGTTTTTAGAAACTATTTTATTATCATACACAAACAAAAGCGTTTTGAGATAGAAATACTAAGATAGAATTATGGTCAGAAAGGCACAATAAATTATGTTGAAAGTGTTCTAAAGAAAACCCAACTTCAGGTTCAATATTTGACTAGAGCTGAAAACTTTTGAATGGGATATCCTTAATCCCGATCAGTTAATTAATCTGGAGATTAATAACAAGAGGAGAACAAGCATTATTTAATCTCGAGATAAAGAAAAAGAGTGGATCAAGCATTAATCCCGATATTCAGAAATCAAAAGTTCCCAGCCCAGTCTTTACAATTTTGTTACATGGACTCCAGTGCAGCAAGCTTTAAATTTGATTTATAAACTGTCTCCAGTATATAAAGTATCTAAAAAATCTCAAGTAACTTAAAATTGTTACTTGATACTTAAATCTATTTCATAAAAATTCCAAATAAGCCGTGGAAAAATATATTATTTATGTACAACCTTGTTACCCCCCCCCCCCCACGCCCAGTAACCAGGATTTTCCCAAGGGGGTTGCAAAGAGGGCTGTTGTAATATATGGGCCCAGGATCACCGAGTGAAACTGAGTGAACCAGCGGGGGTATAGAACATTTTTGTAATTTTTATGTGAAAAAAAGTAATTTTTTTCAAGAAATATTGATACCTGTTTTAACTATGTAAACTATCCGATAATATACACACTTACATAACACAGGTGTTAATAAATTATTTATGTAATTTTCTTGAGTGGCCTTATCAGACAATCCCTCTTAATACTGGTGTAAGCTTCAATGGGTGAAAAATAGAGATATAAACGTGTCTATGAAAATATCTTAATTTTCATAGAAACGATGCATATTGTTTAATTATAAAGAATGATATCGAAGATATATTTACACTGAAGGCAGTATTGATTAAAGCTTTTTTAATGAAACTTTTTAAGTAAGTGGCAAAAGTGAGATTTTAAAGTATTTTTTATATGGGTGCCCCTGCATATCTAGATTATAATTTCTTGTAAACAAGCTATATAACATATAAAGTATTTTTTTAACGCCAACTGTGTAACCTTTCTACACATATAACCTTTGCAGATGTACGCAATATCGCGGAGTTACAGGATCCATTCATGGGAAAGTATATGAACGGGATAGATTGAAATCATTATAAATGCAAAAATATCAGAAGATCAAATGCCGAATTCTACAGTACAAACGCAGTACATTTCAATTAGGTCTACAAGCTAGAAATGTAAACAAATCTGGGTAAAATCATATAAACTGATCGTACTGCATTGTTTATCTCAAAACCGGTTAAATTCCACAAGAGAAGAAAGAGAAGAAAGAGAAGTAAGAGAAGGAAGAGAAGTAAGAAAAGAAAGAGAAGAAATGTTTATGCATACCCTAAAATCATTTCTATCTCTATAATATTTTTGAAAAAGTAAGTAGCTGCCCCCACTGTTCAGCGTACACTTTTTTGATCATTTCAAGAGTTTTGATATTTTAATTTATCGAGAAACTAATCTAAAACCTTCCATCCAACCTGGCCATACTTTACTAGGTTATGCATCTCGATCCAACATTGATTAAAGGGACTGTAAGCGTTATTTCAAGTGACCCAACATTTAAAAATGGCAGTGTCTGATTCACAATGGTACCCTTAAAAGCATTGACCAATCAAGTATGAACTAATTCTGCGTTTTTAATTTCTGCGTATATTTTCCACTATGGGTTCGCTACAAAAGTGACTTGAGCATTTCTTCTGCAGGAAAACATATAGGATCATTATCAGAAAACGACAATATCTTCTACATTATCGATAAGGTTGTTTTTCTAAAAACGATCGTTTTTGAAAAAAAACCGCTCGTTTTGTATTTTAAAAAAACGAAAACGATAGTTTTTTTCACAAAGGGTATCTTTTACAAGGGTACCTTTGTAAATTCGGCCTTATATTGCCATCTTCACCTAGGAGGGTCACGTGAGATTATGCATTTTTATTTATTTGGATGTTTTAGAAAACAATTTAAGAAATCTCTGATATAGAAAACAATATAAGGAATCTATGATATAGAAAAAAATCTAAAAAGTCTCTGATTTAGAAAAAAATCTAAAAAGTCTCTGATTAAGAAAACAATTTAAAAAGTCTCTGATTTAGAAAATAATCTAAAAGCTCAGTTTTAGAAAACAATTTAAAAAGTCTCTGATTTAGAAAATAATCTAAAAAGTCTCTGATTAAGAAAACAATTTTAAAAGTCTCTGATTTAGAAAATAATTTAAAAAGTCTCTGATTTAGAAAACAACTTAAGAAATCTCTGATTTATAAAACAATCCAAAAAGTCTCTGATTTAGAAACAATCCAAAGAATGTCTGATTTAGAAAACAATCTAAAAAGTCTCTGATTTAGAGAATAATCTAAAAATCTCTGCGTCTGATTTAGAAAACAATCTAAAAAGTCTCTGATTTAGAAATCAATCTAAAAAGTCTCTAATTTAGAAAATAATCTTAAAGACTCTGTTTTACCAAATAGATGATCAAGTACAATAGGTGGCATAAGAGAAATGGAACAATTATACACGACGTCACAAGTGTCAAATATAACAAGAAAAACGAAATTTTCTGACATAAATTGACATGTTTTCAAAGAATAAATAAAAAACTGTAAAAACAGAAAATAAAGAACACATCAAATTGCACTAATTTTACTATAAGATAAGCACTTTATTCTAGAATTAACACTATAAATAATAGTTTTGTCGGACACAAAAACTGAATTGACATTTTGACATTTGTGACGTCAGATCACAGCCGTACTGAGACTTGAGAGTGTACAAATTCTACATTGCCATCTAGTGTACTTATAAAATCTATTTGTGTTTAAAAAGATATTCTAAAAAATCTCTGTTTCAGAAAGTATGATGAGATAAAATGTGATAATCCAGAGGATATAGGAGAACAGGATTGCAGTTTGAAAGTAAGAATTAAATTTCCTGTTTCCGCCATTTTGAAAAATCACATATTAAAACATCAAAAATCCGCGAACTTTTTTGTTTTTGTTTGTAGTAAATTGTACAAAGTCAACATTGCATATTATTATTTGTAAGATGAGCGCAACACTCCACGTGGAAGACAGTTACTTTAGTCCATATATCTTCTTAATTTAATCCTTTAATTCAGAGCCCGAAACTTACTATACAGGGTATGATAATGAACCCTAGTTTCGGAAACCCGGTTTCATGAAGGCGGTCAGGCAGTTTTGTAGCTTTACCGATAGTTTTGTTGTGAAATATTATTTGACTAGATTTCGTTGTGTTTATGTTCTACATAATTTCTTAAATAAAAATCTGTGCAAATGTTTAGATCCCAAAAAGAAAACTTGAGAGTTTCGTTTTACAATACTCTTTGCAAAAAACTCTGATTTTCTAATCCCATTATTTGAGAAACCCAAAGTTGTAGACCTTAGATATTTCAAACTATGAATTCTGTTATATCAAATAATCTAATTTTGAAATACCAAAGGTTTACACTATCAGAGTGCAAAGATATAGGCATTAGAATATTTGATTTTGTGGCAAAGGCTCAATTGCTCCGGCTTATGTTATCTCAAGAGCTACGAGGGAAAGCGTTTGCGTAATGCTTAATCCTCTCTTAATCTCCAGATTAATTTAGTTTTTAGATTAATTTCTAGAGATTAGAGATGCGCTCTTTAACTTTTGAAAGACCGGTTTTTAATTTTCCCGCATTTGTGGTGTGGTGTGCATTTGGACTATAGTCCTCAAATGTGATAAAGAATATAAGAATATGTTTTTTAATATTTCATATTAACATGATTAAATTTATATTTCTTTAAATGCTCTAAAAGCTTGCTAATGAACAGCTGACTTTAGTTCAATAGGGTATTAGTCCAATCGATATAGCATCAAATCTGTATTTGTAATCAAACGTATCTGTATTATACAAAATCTAGGAAATGTGATATCCAGCAAGAGATGATAAAAAATTAAAAGTTTTCACAATGGATATTCAGATTAAGCGATTAGGATTAAGGGTATCCAATTCTAAAGTTGTTAGTTCTGGTTTAAAAAGTGTTTTATTTGTTCGGAAAAAACGTGTTTTTTTATTGTCCCCTGCAAAGTGCAAACCCATCGTTTAAAATATTCAAAACAACGCATTTTTTAGTGTTAAAAGTTCCAGTAATAAACCCTTTTATAGTAGTTTTACTCTCTCTAAACTGTTGTATCATGTCTTTTAAATATTCTTTTTAAAAATTGCATGCAATGATATGTCATGCGATTTATATTTACCTTGTTTTTCTTTGTAAATCACAGTTCTATCTGTATTTATATAGAATATCAAAAAATAAATTCGGACATAATTTGGTTGTTACCAATCAATAATTTAGTTTATTTTTAAACCGTTATTTTTAAAGTGCCCGGCGTTGCCCGTAAAAAAAATTTATTTTGAAAATAATTATTTTTGAAAAACAATAATTTTGATTTTTTGAAGAAATAAAAATTTGATTGTAAAAAAATGTCGACATTTTTTAGCCTATGTTACTCCCCGGACACGGTCATGGTTCCCTCAAAAAAATTCAGCTCATTCGGTGAAGACTTCTGGCCAGCTATAGCTAACATATAAATATATATGAGCGAATAGTTTTATTATATAGATATTCCCGAAAGGCTAATGGTAAAATCTTGGTTTTTTAACATTTATTTCGATGCAAACAAAGTTTTAATAAGTTTTGAATAAAGGTTATACAAACATTAGTATTTGATTATAATGTTAGTCGAGTAAATATATTTTTTTACAGACTTATTAACCTTAAACTTAATTTACTCTCCAAGGTGGATTTCGTCTAAAAAGGACTCTGCTCTGGCTAGGGCTTTTTTTTGGAAAGCCCTTGAAAAATGAAGTCCAATGGTGCTATTCGTTTTGCAATATTTTGAAAACAGGGTGTCTCAAAAATAGTGAAAACTGGAGGAAAAATTGTTTTTTTCAAGACCTCATCCAGTCATCCATATTACTCAGCAACCTGGTCAAATATTTAGAAAAAAAAAACAGATATTTTTAGGTGTATGCAAAGTTTTATCTCCCTGCTTTATTTATTTTGGCCGTTTTCGCGCATTTTTGAAAAAAATAGTTTGTTGCATTAAACTCTTTTATACTTTATAATTTAGTAAATTTTAGAGAAGGAAAAATATGTAAGTTTTTTATCCTAATGATTTAGGTCAACTTTCAATTGCATAGGGTGTTGAAAAAAGCAATTCAATTTGGCACTATTTATTTTTTCATTTTTGTTCTTTGCAGGGAGCTAAAATATGCATACACCTAGACAATATTTCACCAGGTTGCTAAGTAATATGGATGACTAGCTGAGGTCTTTAAAAAACGATTTTTTCCTCCAGTTTTTACTTTTTTTAGACACCCTGTGTCAAAATAGGACAAAACGAATTTCACCATTGAATTTCATTTTTCAAGGGCTTTAACAGCCCTTTAGCTAAAAAAAACAATTACCCTCCTTCTGGATGGCATAGTAAACAGTTTTTTTTCAATTTGAAGTAATTATATAATCGGGAAAAAAATAAAAAATAAGTGTTTGAGGAGAAACTATATAAAACAGTAATGTTTGTGCATACGGTACAGTACAATATATAAAATACTAAAGAAGTGTTTAAGTTAATACAATACTTGAAACATGCAGGGTATCCCACATGATATTTGATCGTTTATAGCTTCAAATTAAGATTTTTGGAACTAATGGATATTTTAAAAAGAATGAATCAAGCTAATGTATAAAGCTAATATAAAAATGTTTTCGGAGTACTATGTGCGTATTTTTTCGTTAAAGCTTGGATATAATCCAATGTGATATGGGAAGCCCCGTTTATAAATAAAATAGACCAAGGTATTGGATAATCTTCTAAAAGTGAGAGCAGAATCTGAAAAAAAAGTTTTATATTCTTGGAAATGTTCTATTTCTGGCTGTAGTGTACACAAACATGAAGTATCATGCAAACAAAAACTTTACAGCTTGCTTAACCCTCCATGTTGCACTAATAAATCAAGGAACAGGTCCAGGAGATTGAAAATTTTGAAAAGTTTTAATTGAAAAATGGAAAATTAACAATATTAGTGTTTTATTAGCCTTTGCTTGTTTTATTAACCTTTTAGGTTAAGCTATTGTTTGTTACTGACAAGGGAATATATTTAATATCTGAGTCGGGTCATGTCATTGTGTGCAGTCTGAGTGTGTATAGAGTGTTTTCACTAAACATGAAGATGAGAAAAAAGTCGTCTTTGATCTCGGAGGTCTATCTATGTCAAAGCGTCTATATCAAAAAAATTCTGCACGACTTGAATTGACAAGAAGTATGTATTTGATGATTATTGTTTCAAGTATAATTTTACAGTAAAATGAGGTCTATGAAAAACTGCCGCAAATTGTTTTAAAAGTCGAAGGTGATCTTTAATTCGGCTCTTAACTTTCATGTTTCGTGGGACACCCTGTACTTCTTGTACACAAATTTTAATTGGTGAAGAGAAACAAAGCAATTTTAAACCCACTTGTTCGAAGTTTGTTTACTGGATAGTCGAGGACGGATTTTATTATTTTATTATTTCAAATTCAGGAGTTTAGGACTGCAATGAGTTGTATTATTTAAGACTGCAGAAATTACTTCAGCCATAAACTATGCTTTTGTTAAATATTTTAAATGAGAAGATAAAAAACAATGAGCTATTTTAGATGTTTTTTTAAAGAAAGGACTTTTTTTCTGCCATGTACTCTACCCTATAAATAAAAAAAAAAATATTTTTAACAAAAAATCCTTCAAATTACTGTTCATTAAAAGTCACAAAATTTCACGGTGATGATCAAATATCTTAGAAAAATGTATGTTACTAATTGTATAATTTAGTGGGAAACGGAATTGAAGAATCGGAAAAAACCAACAGTGGCTTAATATTTCTTTCTGCAGGTAATTTTTCATTTAATTGACAAAAAATATTTGAAGATTTCAATCCCACCCCAACCCCTCTTACCTCCTCAAGTTGTTTGGCGTAAAAATTTAATTTTCAAGATCGATTTTTGCAATTTGCGTAGTTTATCAGACTAAGCGTTGTAAATCGGACATGCCAAGCTCTATGCATTTAGACTGGAAATATCAGGCCTACAGTCTCTTTGTAAATGTCGTCTTTTCGATTTTATTTCTTTTGTCCATTCTCTTATAATGTGGTACTCCCATAATCATAACAGTATCTCACAATAATACACATTTAGATTAAAATAAAAACTACATTAGGCTTGTACTGTTCAAAGAATTTATAAGCTGAAAATATAAAGAAAATTTATTCTTCCTTACATATTTTCATTCCGTTTCTTGGTTTTAAAATTGGATTAAACGGCTGAGAATGATAAATTTTAGCAAGAGTGTCTAGGTCTGACAGAAATTTAGAATTGAATTTAGGGAAAATTCACGTTTATATTTGACTTGTGAAAGACGTAAAATTTGCATATTTCTTTTTATTAAAACTGGCTTCCTCCCAAATCACCATCAACCTTTTTGAATCCCCCTGATATTCTTGACATTTTCTAAAAGTAATTCAAAAAATTGAATCCGTATCTTTCTATTTCCGCTTTGAAAATATATACGAACAGCTGTTAAGGAAGTGCAATTTGAGTTTCTGAAAATCCGCGAATAAAGAATAAAAAAACAATTTTTGCCACCTGTTTTCCCTGTATTATCAAAATTGATAAGATTACCCATTAATCTTTGATGGTCAATATTTTATACTTGCCTCAAACTCAAATTTTCAAATCCTTATTTTTCTGGGCAAACCTAATGTTGCAGACCTTTTATATTTCAATCTATAAATTCCAATAGTAAAAAAAATTTCCCCGCTGGGGTACTTGAAAACCAGAATACGCTGTGGGGGGGAGGGGGTCAAATTTTCCCCCTCTAAATCCCATGTTTGCTGTCCAAATATGACAAATGATACATCATTGGAAAGCTCTTATGCCCTACTTTTAGAAAAATTGCAAATTTGCAAAAGTTGAACATTTTTTTGCAAAATTCAGTTATATAGTAAAAATGTGTGCAAAAAAATGTCCAAAAATGATAAAATATGTATTTTGAATAGCCCTTGACCATGCCATTTCAAATATGCAAAAAAATATGCAAATATTTAATTTACCTGATTTGTAATTCAGAAAATGTGCAAAAGTGCAAATTTCTTTTGACAACCCGTATGCAAATGATTTGCAAAAATTTCTTTATAAAACGTGTGCAATCCTTTTCCTTATGTCTTAGGCTTTTTTTAAAAAAAGCTCAAAATTAACTAAATCTGACAACTATAAGTGGGTCAAAACAAAGATTTAGTTTGTTACAGGAAAAAGTGTGGAAGATAGCGTCATTTTATTGAAAAGCGTTTAATTCTAATACTTTTTCTCAATGTTTTGATTTCTATACTAACTAGCTGAAGTGTCCGGCGTTGCCCGTGGAATTGTAAAAGCACTGGGAAAAAATTGGGAATTTAGAAAAAAATAATCGAATTTAAAAAAAAATTCTTTAAAAAAGGTGTAATATATGTTAAAATTGTTTAGGAATATGCCTGTTTATTGTGTGCACATGCTTGTGGTGTTTACGAAGATTTCTAGCGAAGAAGAGAGAAGATGACAATGTAAAACCAAAGAAGAAGAAGAAGACAAGGGCAGGGGGAGCAGGAGCAGGAGGAGGAGGAAAAGGGGGGATAGAATCAGGAGAAAAAGGAGGGATTGATCTCAAGGTTCGTTATAAAAATCATTATTTTCTTATGATTTTCAAAGTTTGTATTGATTTCCTCCGATTGTAAAAGAATTTTTATAAAAAAAATTGATTGTAAAGATTTCTTTCATAATTGTTTTCAGGAATGTGATAAATTTTTTACAATAAACTTTTAGTGGAAGATCCTTATACTGCAATTTTTGACATAAAGCAAGCAAACTTTTAGATAAAATTAATTGATTTGTAATTATTAATTTTTTCAGACACTTCAAGGTCTAGGCTACCCATTCAAAAAGAAGGTATGTTTTTTACGAATAATTTACTGCACAGTACTGTACTGCACCGTACTATACTGTTCTATACTGTACTGTACTGTACTGTACTGTACTGTACTGTACTGTACTGTACTGTACTGTACTGTACTGTACTGTACTGTACTGTACTGTACTGTAATTTAATGTACTGAACTGTACTGTACTTTACTGTACTGTACTGTACTGTACTGCACTGTACTGTACTGTACTGTACTTTACTGTACTGGACTGTACTCTTCTTTACTGTACTGTAATGTACTGTACGTACTGTACTGTACTGTACTGTACTGCACACTGTACAGGTTGTCGAGGAGCAGGATGGTTTAAGTTTACTTCAACATGAACAGCTTCAGCAAGAGAAAGAGAAAGAGAAGAAAAAGAAACATTTGGGAACCATTAAATACAAGGTCAGGAATCTATAAATTGCTGGCAAACACCAAAAAAAAGGATTGCATATGATATTTAAGAAATGTTTTTTCGAAAAAATCGCGAAAGTCATTTTTAAGGAACTATCGATATTGTTGGTCACATATTTGGTGGGTAAAATAGGTTGCTTTGTTAATCCGATTGAAAACAATATTATTTTACGAATAAAATTTTAACTATTATACCACCTTTCTATAAAAAATGTCAAGACATATCGTTGACACAAGTTCTCAAATAATATTTAATAAACTGAATAGAAAAGTTATAGAAAGCTAAATAAATTAAACTTTAATTACCCATTAACCAACCTTAAGACAACATTGCGTGTCGTCTGATTCAGAAGGAAAAATCTACAAGTCAATTTTAGGAAGAATCCACATTCTAACAAAATCAATTTTAACATTTAAAAAAATAAGAATATCTCAGTCATCCTGGATCTGACCAATATTAAAATAAAACCGTTGTAAATTGTACATTTTTTAATGTACATGTTAAATTCCATAAGTGGATGTATAATTCTGATTACCTGTTTATAATCCAGTCTTCGAATTCACAAAAACGAAAACTCTTCAACAAATTATATTAAATTGAAATAAAAATGGCTATTATAGATTGTTAGGCAAACCAGAAAATATCAAGGAAATGGAAACAAAGTTCTTAAAAGTTGTATATATATATATATAATATATTAGAATTGTTTGAAGTAAGAAATATATGTGTGTTCTGAATATAAAGAATTGAAGAAAATTATGTTTTTGTCGTGGAGCAATAAATCCTAGACTAGGTGTGTGATATATGTAAATATATAAATGTTTAAATATACAGAATATAGATAGATTATATTATTAATGATATTTTTAATGAAATATAAAATTATAGTGAGATTCTGAAATGTAATGAAATGTTTTTTTAATTTGATTAGCATACAGGTTTAACCACAAAGGATGGTATAACTAATCTTGATCCCAATCAACTCTTAAAATTTGTTTAGGATTCCGCCTAAACCCCCTTTCATTTTACCTTAAAACTCCCTGTAAGACTGAACACGTTTCATTAACTTCTTAGCAAGAACTAAACAAAAATATTTTCAGTTCTTTCTTAAAGTTTCGTTCAGTACCTTTCTCAATTTTCTTAACGGTTTTCATCATCAAGTAATTTTTAACAGAAATTTTTTTGTTTTTTAATGATTTCAAGATTTGTGGTTTCGTTAATTTTCAAAAGCTTCCCTTTCGTTATTCTCGTCGGAGCGTTTCCTCGCCATATTAAATTCATACCGTCTTTATTACAAGTTAAAATGTAATTTTAATATTTTTTTAAAATCATATTTAGATATAAACAGATAATATTCATAACTTTAAATGAAGTTTATTTAATGAGGTTTCATTTGCAGTGCTGATCGGAATATAAAAATTATTATTCGGTATTTTTCTTAAACAACCGGATAATGTTACAGGGTTGCCAGCTGCCTAAAAAGAATTTATCTCTAAAAAAAATTAACTTAAAACTTGTCTGCATATATTGCAGAAATTAAAACTTGGAAAATGGAACCAAGAACTTTTATGAAAATTGAACTTAAAACTTCTTCTTAAGAAACCCCTAAACTTCTCAAAATGGAACCTAAAACTTCTCTTTGAAAAAGAACTAAAATTCTAAAGATAAAAACCTAAAACTTCTCTATGAAGAAAGGTCTTAACTTCAGGTTGGAAACTAAAACTTCTTTGAGCAGAACCTAAAACTTCTCGATGAAAAATACTTTTTTAAATGAAATTTACGACTTTTTCTATAAATATTTATTTTGCTTGTCTGTCTATCTGTTTGTTTGTATCCAATTTATAGATTTTCGTAAACTTTTGAAAATCCAAAAAAAAACAGATTTTTTATTGTTTTTTATAGTTTAAAGGAAAAATGCTCACAGTTAGAACCATAATTTAGGATTGAAATTGAAAAGGGCTCAAACTTCCCTTTTAAAAACCTATTATGAAAAAAAGTTTTCACTTCTTTGAATAAAGCATAACATTTTTCTATGAAGGAAACCCTAAACTTTTTTTAATGGAACCTAAAACTTCTTTAAGCAGAAAGAAAAACTTCTCTGTGAAGTTTTTCTTTACAACCTAGAACTTTACTATGAAGAAGAATCAAAACTTCTCTTTATGCATCCTGAAATTTTCTATGATGTAAATTTAAACTTCTCTGTATTAAACCTTAACTTCTCACTGAAGAAGATTCAAATATTCTCTTTAAATGCAACCTGCAAATTTTCTATGAAAAAAACTCTAAACATTTTTTAACGAACTTAAAACTTCTCTATGAAGAAGATCAAAACTTCTTTATATACAACCTATAACTTGCAGGGCACATTTTGTACATCATTTTTCTTTTCCGTCATTTCCAAGGAAATCTTCGCTCCTGGGGGGGGGGATGAACACTCCCACCCCCTTGTATCCGCCCTAATCTCCCCCCAATGTATCCACCCTTGGCTGAAGGTTGTCTGAATACCTTTGTAAATATTAATGGCAGCTATGAGATGAAATAGATATTGGAGAATATACAGGAAATATTCAGATTGGTTTATACAGACAGAACATCACGAAACTAGAAGGAGGAGATGACGGGAGGGGGGGGCAAAATATCTCCCCCCCCTCGTGAAAACTTTCCATGGGATTTCATGGTAGCTGCAGCAACTGATGTTATTTCAATTGACATTCTATTTTGGTATTTTGTTTCTTATGCCGTACCTCTTATAATCCCATGCATTGAACATTTTTGTTTGTCTGTTTAACCATGTGCTCCAGTATATTGAGAAAATTATCGTTATAGGGGACTGTAAAGGAAAAATGAAATGGGGTAAAGGCTGAAACCTGAACATTTCAGAAGCTGATCGAGACCCATGAGAGTTCAATCTGATGTTCCTGTCTCGACAAAATTGATACTCAACTTTGTCAAATTTATAAGAAAATCTATATACATAATACATATATGAAATTTTGTATAAAAATAGTTGGTTTAAACGGATCATATTCAGCAAATGCACAACCAATCTGGAAACGACGATATCCCAGAGGAGCCTAAGAAACTTAGGTTTGCCCCAATTATTATTTGAATTTACTATTTTTTCATTTCCACTATTTTTTAAATCCTCAAATGTTTGCAACATGACAGTGTAGGCCTTAGATTTTTCAAATTTTGAATGTTAGATCTAGCAAAATCAAAAGTTTGAAATGAGTTTGAGACAAGTTTTGTTAAATTTGTATGCACTTAAATATACTTTATTAACCCACCCTTTCATTCTTTCAGTGTTGATATAATTTGAGATTGCGTGTCCATAGATCGATGAAGCCCGTTCAAATAATTTAATAATTCAGAGCTTTTAAACAGAAATATGTAAAATTACTCACAGTACAATCACATATTTGGATTCAATGCTTTCCCATTATTGTCCAAACACCAAAGGGACTATAAGGTCCCAGTTTTAAGAAGCATGGAATGTTTGATTATGGCTGAATGAGATGAGATATTCTAGTTTTTAAACTAAAATTGATTAGTTGTTTTGCTGCACCAGTTTTTTTTGAAATGATAATTTCTTTTTTTAAGTTGTCAATTTTCATTATCTAGCTTTTCTACAAGAACTAAGGGGACAAAATGTGAGATGTCACATTTGTCCTTTAACAATGATCTGTCCTGTGTAAAGATGGGTTGTCATTAACGATGGTCTGTCGTTAAAGATGGACTGTCGTTAATATGAGTCTGTCGTTTACAATGATTTGTCTTTAACAATGGTTTGTCTTTAACAAGGGTTTGTCTTTAACAAGGGTTTGTCTTTAACAATGGTTTGTCTTTAAAAATGGTTTGTCTTTAACGATGGTCTATCGTTAACAACGATTTGTCGTTAACAACGTTTCATCGTTAATAATGGTTTTTCTTTAACGATGGTTTGTCGTTCACAATGGTCTGTCGTTTACAATAGTTTGTCGTTAACAATGGTCTGGTTAGCAATGATCAGTCGTTGATGATGATATGTCGTTGATGATAATCTGTCGTTGATGATGATCTGCCGTTAATGATGGTCTTAAAAATTGTTATGCAGTTGCATGATGAATTGAATTTCTGAAATCACAAAAATAAATTATAAAGTAAATAAAAAAAGAATTAATGTAACAGAAAAAGTTTTTTATATTTTCGTTAAAAGATAAATAAAATATACCAAGTTTTGGAGAAACAAATTGGATTTAGGAGAAAGACAAATGATCTGAGATTAAATAGATGTTGCTTAACATCTGAATGAATTAAGAAATAGGAACAAAAGATAAAAATGTGTTTTTCTTGTTTGAGGTTGAATATAAGTTCTTGTTTCAGGTTGAATATAATTTCTTGTTTTAGGCTGAATATAATTTCTTGCATGTGGTTGAATATAATTTCTTGTTTTAGGTTGAATATGATTTCTTGTTCGAGGTTGAATATAATTTCTTGTTTTAGGTTGAATATGATTTCGTCACAAGTACTCTGATCGTCACTATCATCGAATGCAAGGTAAGAAATAATTAAAACTTATAAATTGAATTTTATTTCAAGTTTTTTCTAACGATTCACATTAATGGAATTAAATTCTCCAACCTTCTTTAAAAAATTAGTATCTGAAGGACCACAGGAGAGCTTTGTAAAAACAGCTCTAAGCTATATCAAAGCTCTCCTGCTGCAGTAGTTTTACATATGTTTAATTTACGCACGTTTTGTTCAGAACTGTTATGATTTGTTGTTACTGCAGAAAACAGAATGATTTTATTTGATTTAAACCTTTTTATTTGAAGTATGTATCCAAAAGTTATTGTATAAGAACCCTCTTAATGTTTAACATATTTCCTCTTTTTTGATTTTGATCAGACAAAAGCTTTACTATTTTTAATATATTTACCGTGCAGAGGATGCTAAAAACATGCTAAAATTATATTTCAAAAACAGAAAAAAAATTGAGTAAAAAATAAATTAAAAAAGTTTAATATAAAAAGGTAATTTAAAATAAAATGACTAAAATTGGAAGCAATGAGAAAATTAAGCAAAATTTTCTTCTATTTTTCATCTTGTTATATTCTAGCGTGCAAGTAAACATTATTTAATAACCTTTAGGAAGTACATTATTATTATTCTACTCCTAATAGTCCTAAAGTTTTTGTGTATTTTAAAAAATTTTACATCGTCTTTGATATTGCTAACTGCTGTCTATTTACTATTATCTACTAAAAATCAAATATTATATAAATACAATAATAAGAGATAAATGATCCCTGGACTGAAAACATAATTTTAAGTGATCTTTCATTTATAGAGTGGCATATTCGACTTACAACGGTACCCTATAGTCCCTATGCAGTCTAATCAAGGGGGTATAGGCTGAAACCTAAGTTACTTATGAGTTGATCGAAACCCTTGCAAGTTCTATCTTATGTTCCTGTCTTGAGAAATTGATAAAAACTGTGTCAAATATATACAACAATTGGTATATATAGTTTGAAAGATCTAAGGTCAACGACATTGGATTGCAAAGATATTGTTATTAGAAAATCTGAGTTTGTTGCAAAGACTCAATTCCTTTGACACAGTTTTTTTTATCAATTTCTCGAGACAGGAACATTAGATAGATAGAACTCGCAAGGGTTTCGATCAACTCATAATTAACTTACATTTCAGCCTATACCCCCTTTTATTTTTCCTTTACAATCCCTTAAAATATCCATGTTTTTGTTCTCGAAGGCTGATCATTTTAATTTTTTGTTTCTCTACAAAATTGTGGCTTCCGAATTTCTTGCGTGATAGAATAAACTGAACTATCGTAAACTTTGCTTGGATTAATATTTCAAGGGTAACATTGTGAATCGTGCATGCCCCTCTTTTATTTTTTTCATATTTTTTTTGGAGGGTAACAACATCAGACTCCGCTCAACCCTACTATTTTTTCCGTCTGAGTACTGACTGCAAATTACTGCTGAACACACAGACAGCTTAGTTGAGGCTGAACTGTCCCTTTAATATTTTAATTTTAAATCAGGATCTACCTGCGATGGATTTGAACGGAAGTAGTGACCCCTACGTCAAAATATATTTACTTCCGGAAAAGAAAAGAAAACAGGAAACAAAGGTAATCCTGTTATATTGCAAAAATTCTGCAAATTAGGTTGCAGAAAATCTGTCAAAATTAAAGGAATTTCCGAATTATTTACAAATACTTTACAGGGAAGTTCTTTTAAGACGAAAATGTGCGATTTTCCCCCAAAATTTCGAAGAGCGGGTGGTTATTTTACTTAATGGGAATGGTAATGGTGGTCAAAAGGCGGTAAAAAAATGTAACAATTAATATGAATATATTTTCCATACATAAAAGCTTTATTCTGAAGCACTCCAAGGTTCTAGGAAGTTAAGAATATATCTGACAGAATACTTTCAACAGGATGGAACAACAAGAATTTATAATTATATGAAACTTTTTTTTTACCTTTTAATGTTTTCGGACTTTTAAAATGCACCTTACATCTGCGCAGGTTCATTTATTTATAAAGAAGGAAACGTTAAAAGTTTAAAAGTTATTGCCCAGCACAGTATACACGTTACATATACATTATATAATTTTTTTAAAGAATAATGTTTTTTTCTTTCTTTTTCTTTGAACATCCTGTAATGCAGTGTAAAGTGTAGTTATGAACTTCGGGAGATTAAATTATAATAATTTACCTAAAGTGAAGAATAAAGATATAAAGTTTATCTTAATTTAAATAAAGATAAAAAGTTGTGAAACCTTTCAAACGTTCAATTGAAAATTTACTTCTCGACAGACAACATTTTTAATTGAGCTTTTTTAAAATTGGCATTATTCAGAAAACACGATTAACTCTTTTTCCTTTTTTAAAAATAGAAAATATAATGTGTAATTCGTAGCAAGGTTTAAACACGTTAGAGAACAAAATAAGCTTTGATCTAACGGTTAGTCAATTCCCAAGTTACATTGTGGCTTTGAATATAAGATAACAAAATCATTAATAGGACATTTCACAGATTGGACATTAAATTTATTGGACAGGACAATATGATATTTAGGACATTAATAGATATTTCATGAATAGAATGACATTTCAAGGACAGAGAAGAACTATCATAAATGTATTTATAAACTTACCTAGCTCTTTGTCTCCATAACTGATCTTTTTTTACTTCCACGATTTATGATTTCATTTTGTAAAGAAATTTAATGCGTGGACTAATTTAAAAACAAAATCAAAATAAGGAATATTTTTAAATTTTAGAATAAATGTTTCTCTATCTATGAAAATTCTGCTCGGTCCATGATATGTTCCAACATGAAATGGTCTCCCCGCTAAGGAATGATTTTTAGAATAGTTAAAAACTCATTAGTAAGAACTAGTTAGTATTACCTGAGGCCGAATTAAAAGAATTTTAGCGGCGGCTTAAATTTAAGCCGCGGCTCAAACATAGTTGGTTTCACTTAAAATCGTATTCAATGTTTCAAGATTTAAGACGGTGCTTGATTGAAACCGGTTTTGGGCAGATTTAAGACGCGGCTCAAATTCATTAAATTCGGACACTGTTTTCACAATTTGAGAGACACAAAATAACTAAAAATAACTAAATTTGTTATTTTTTAGATTCATAGGAAAAATCTGAATCCAGTGTTTAATGAAACATTTAAATTTGTGGTAAGCAGAAGTATTGAATTGATGTTAAAATATCACAATTATCAAATTTTGTAGATCGATAGTTTATAAAACTATTTATCAGCATAGGCACCGAGTTCTTACCACCAACTCTTGTACATGCTTACACCATCAGGTTGCAAATACATAGACATTAGAAAATTTGTGGCAAGATCTTGAAATTCCTTTGTTCATAGATAGTGATTTTTGAAATTATAAAGATCTTTGCATCAAACTCATTTAATATTATTTGAATCCTATTTCACGACATTATCTATGGAATATTAAAAGACTAATATAGATTTTTTATAATCCAGTTATTCCATGAGATATTTAATGAAAAACTTCTTGTTATTTTTTGCCTAAACACCACTGATATGTCAGTAAAAAAAATTTTAGAGGGAAAATTTAGTTTTAAACAAATATTAAAATCAAAGAGTTTGAACAAAGTAGATTTTCGGCTTTGTTATCTTTTGATAAAGAAAAAACTGTACACTGGCTACAAACTCTATATTTGTAACCTGATGTTGTTGTAGACCTTTTTATATTTTAAACTATGAATTCTGATCGATCAAAATGTTAAAGTTTGCAACATTATAGGTTTTCATATATTCAGGGATTAGGATTTTTTTACTTTTTTATTTTTACTGATATGGTATCAATTTGTACTATGGTATCAATTTGTCCTTCTTTTCTTAAATTGTTTTTATATATATTACATATTATTAATTTGT